CTTCTTCTTCTCCCCATCTCCATCGTGCGTTTTCCTTGGTCAATTGCGTGAGTGGGGCCGCGACCGTGGAAAAATTCGGAATGAAGCGGCGGTACCAAGACGCCATCCCCACGAATTGACGTATTTGCCTGACGGACTGCGGCTCAGGCCATTTAGCCACGGGAATTTTCCCGGGATCGGTCCGGATTCCCTCCCGGTCAATAACGTGCCCCAGGTATGTTAAACGGTCGACACAGAATCGGCATTTCTCCGGGTTCAGACGGAGGCGCGCGTCACGAAGGCGGCGGAAGGTTTCCCCCAGCAGCTCGAGATGTTCGTCGAATGTTCGGCTAATCACTATGATATCGTCGAGATAAACAAATACGTGTGGCTCTAACTCGGGTCCGAGAACCGTATCCAGTAGTCGTTGGAACGTGGCCGGGGCAAAGTGTAACCCGAACGGCATGACCTTGAATTGAAAGAGTCCCTTCCCCGGTATTGTGAATGCGGTGATCGGCCGGCTGCTCGGGGCCAGAGGTACTTGCCAGTAACCGTTTTTGAGATCTAAGGTGGACAAATACCGGGCCCCCCTCAATTTGTCGAGAGTCGCGGTAATCTGCGGCAGCGGGTACGCGTCTTTATGTGTCACGTCGTTGACTCGGCGGAAGTCAATGCAGAAACGTTGTCCGCCGTCCTTTTTCTTGACAATCACAATGGGCGAGCTCCATGGACTGTACGAGGGCTCGATGACCCCTTGGGCCATCATTTCCTCCACCTCGGCATCAATGACTGCCTGCATCGCTGGGTTGCGTGGGCGATACCGTTGCTTAATCGGCGTGTTAACGATAAGTCGTATGGAGTGTTGGGCCCGATCGGTGAGCCCCTTCACGGTATCAAATCTAGAGAGTTCACCTCGCAAAAATTCTTGGAGCCGTTTGTCCTCCTCGGCAGTCCTGCCGGCCAGGCCTTCGATGGTGCAACAATGCTGGCGCCATCGGAGCACATGCATCGGCGGGGCCGGCGTGCCTATCCGTAATTTTGCCTGCAAATCCACCCCCATTAATACCTCGCTGGAGAGGCCTGGTAGTATCCCGAATGTGTGTGTCGTGGTTCGGCCGGCGACCTGAACTGGCAGGTTCATTCTCCCTGCGAGTTCCGCGTATCAATCGTCTGCCAATTGTATCTGGCTTTCCCCCCTCGTCCACGCGAAACCTGCTTGTTCCAACGTCTCGGCGGTTCTTTTATTCATCAGCGATATCTCGGACCCCCCATCGACCAAGGCGTCGAAAGTAAATTCCCCGATGCTGATCGGGGTGTGTGGTCGCGGTTTAAACGTTATTCGGGGCTGGGAGTTACGGCGGCGACCTTTTCTCCAGCCCCGTCGGCTTTTCCCGCCGGCGGGTGGCACTGCGCGGTGAGCACCCCGTCTCGCCCGCACTGCGAGCAGAATTTCTTTGCGGGGCGTCGGCATTGACGGCGCGTGTGCCCGCGCTGCTTGCACCGCCAGCAGCATTCGGCCTTATCATAGACAGCCGCCACGGCGGGTTTTGTTTCGGCTTTCTCTCTCTTCAGGGCCTCTTGCCGTTCGCTCACTAGGTCCTCGTGTTCGCGAGCACGCGCTTGTAGCTCGGAAATGTCGCCAATATCGCGTCGTCGGATATAAAATTTGTACTCCGGATGCATGTGATCGTATAAATACTCGAGCTGCATAAGGGGTGAGAATCCGCCGGCCCGGCGCATGAGTGTCATCATCACCGTGGAGTATTGCGCGAAAGTCACGTTGGCCTTTTGGTGACGGTTCTCGATTTCGCGGCGGAGGGAAGCATCGTATCGATGAAACTGCAAAAACTGCAGGCGAAATGCCGCCTCGAACCCCTGCCACGAGGTCCAGCTGGCCCGGTGGTTCCGGTACCATAACAAGGCGTCTCCCCTTAATACCTCCGATAATCCGCGCAGTAATTGATCCTCAACGATGTGGTAATTCTCGCGGAATTCGGCAAGCCGCTCCAGAAAGGCGGCGGGATCGCGTCCATCAAAGTGGAAACCACTCTTCCGGAGTTGGTTTATTGCCCGGTAATCCGGCAACGGGGGGGTCGCGAAATCTCCGGGCGCATCGCGGTCCAAGGGCGAGGACCCCGTGATAACAACCTGCGGTAATGCCCCGGAGGGACCCGCTTGTTCGCGTGGGTCAGTCGCGAATTCGTCCGTATGAGTGTCCGCGTACTCCCGCATACGTCGGCAGATGTCGTCGAGAGTGCCAGTGCTCTCCAATCCATAGCCCTCCGCTAGCACGGCCAGTTGCTCCTTCGGGAGCGCGTATAGCCACGACCTCATTATGCACGCTCACACAGAAAAGAAACGCAGAACGAGAAACAATAAAAATAAAAAAAAACGTCCCTGTTCGGGCGCCAATGTGACGGTCGTATTTCCGGACGTTTTTCTTAGCGCGGATAGATCGCCGGTGCTGGGTTTCGTTAAATGAAATACGCGGTGTGTATGGTATAATTGCGTTTATTGAGGTTGTATGAATGTGTGTACAGTGTTAGAGTGCGTAAATGTGTGGACGAGTGTGTGAGCGTGTGCGTGATTATAAAAGCTCGTATATAAATCGCGTGGTTCGTGTAATTAGCCCGAATATTAATGTTGATTAATTTCGGCCTCGTTTTCGCACGCCGGCGGGTGTTTACGATCGCGCGAGACGGCGCGCGTTTTTGCGGCGCTTTTTCTGCGGGGAATCCCGAGATTCCGAGAATGCTTCGGTTCTCGGAATCGACGGTGATTTTCGCCGTATTATTTACTTCGCGATTTAAAGTCCGCGTATAAATCGCCTATGCGCTTTAACTTGGCGGCGTTTACGCGTCTGTTTTTCGGATGCGCTCGCGTAATTGCATATGATGTATGCGTTGATGTTCGGTGCGTATGACCCCGGTTTTTATTTCGCGGAGGATGGATTGCGCGATGCAGCTGGATCGGTAACTCCCGATCCGGGGCGGCTCAAGCTCCACCTTCCGTGAGGGTTGCAGCTGCGGATCAGGCGGATTGCACTTTTCGGCGTCAGAATCGAGAACACTCGTTCGGAGACGGAGCACGCTCCACCTCTGTCTTCGGCTCTTTCTGTGCGTTTGATAGGATTTCTCGAGGATTGCTTTTGGAAGCGTACTGCTTCAAGCGGATCGGAAAAATGTGATTAGAGTCAAAAATGTGGCCCTTTTTATACGGGCTAATTGCCCGCGTCGGCGCGTGACGGTATAACCCCTTCCGAACGGGTTTTCGGAAAACGGTACGGTCGGGCCCGTTCGGAGGGATTCGGGTAGGAGCCGAACGCGGGCTTTCGCCGGTCGACGGTTCGAGCCACATCGACTCTGTTCGGCGATGTTCGGCCGAATTTTGATTTTCGGCAGTTTTAAAAAGGTGGGCGCACCGCGCCCCTGCCTCTGCCCGGCGGGTGTTCTGCCGGGCGGCAGCTTCCGGCGGATGTTATGCCGGGAATGTGATGCACCGGAATGCATCGTTACAAAGTATGTATATTATATTGCATGTAATATTAATGCGTTGTCAATATAATATTGATTTAATATTATTATATCTTTTTTAATCTATTATTATTATTAATAAACATTTTATTTAAAGTTAAAGAAAGGACGAATTATATTATTAATTATATTATTAACAGATAAAAAAGAATAGAAAGAGAGAAGAAGAGAATGAAGGTGAAAAAGAGTAAAAAGAGAAGGAAGTTTAATTTAAAATTAAAAAAAAGGAAAAATAAGAAAGGCAGATAGTAATAATAAAAGAGAGGCAAATAGTAAATATATTATAGCATATTTAAAATAATAGCATATTTTAAATGTCTTATTTTAAGTTAAAGAAAGATATATTTATTAATAATAATAATAGTTAAAGAAAGATATATTTATTAATAATAATAATAGAAAAAAGAGTTATAGAATAAATTTTAAAAGAGTTATAGAATAAATTTTTTATAGAATAAAAAAGTGTTCGCGGATGAATAAGTTTATGCAGGAAGCGCGTTCCGAAGAATTTTGTAAAAAGGACACCACACTATTGAAAGCAACGATAAAACACGACACGTATTTTTTTTGGTATTTTTATGAGATTTATTTTAAACGACACACAATCAATTAAATAATAAAGTTTTACAATAGAAAAATGCGGATTTTATTTATTCGAATTTTCAGATCGAGATAATAATTATGAATTTCGAACATTCCGTCCGCCTCGTCAGTACGTGACGAAATTTGCGAGTGCGTGCGGGTGCGGACAGGTGTCGCAAACTGTTCCATTGATGAACTATTGATCGCGATGTATGAATGGAATGTATGACGTAATGTGGACACGTGTTGAACAGTTTAGTTGAGTCTTTCGCGAAAGTAAGTAGTGCGGTTTGGTGATGAATTATGTACAGCGGAGAGTGGTGTGAAATGAACAAAATGATACAGTGCAGTTTTCGCGAGTGCAGTGAAAGTTAAGAGTTGCAATGTGGAGTGCTATGATGAGTGAGCGTGACTGCGAAATTCCGACGTGAGTGAAGAAAAAAAGGAAAGGAAAGACCGATGACACGGTCCGTGGATCGCACGTAAGATCGAGTGTGAGAATGTGATTGAGCGCGGCGCGATTCTCGGAAATATTACGTGTGCAGAGTACAATTCAAGTGAAGTGTGATAAACGCGAGATATTACGCGGCGGCAACGGACAGTTAAACAAAGTTTGACTAAGTGCGGGCTCACGAATCCAGGTGCGGTAAAGATGTGTCGTTGTCGTCTTTTAGCAGGAGGATGACCTTCGCGAGTGGCCGAGTGAGTTCCGAAGACGCCGTGCCGATGGTGACCACGCGGGTGATTCCGTCGTCTCCGGGATGCAGTGCCGTGATGCGGGCAAGAGGCCACCTAGTCGGGGGTGTGATCTCGGACCGGAGCAGGCACAGGTCGCCGACGCTGGGGCCGGCCTCATTCCTAAGCCACTTTGGTCGGGCCGCCAAGGTGTTGAGGTATTCGCGCGATTCACCGTTCCCAGAAATGGTCGCGCATCTTCTGGAGAAGCTGCCATCGAGACAGCGTGGTGTCCTTCTCGGCGGTGAGTGACGGCTCTGGGACGGCCAGGAAGGGGGCTCCGATCAAAAAGTGCCCTGGTGTTAGTGCCGTCAAGTCGTCGGGATCGTCCGTCAGCGGCTGCAACGGGCGCGAGTTGAGGCACGCCTCCACTTGTGTGAGAAGAGTGGCCATCTCCTCGTAGGTGAGGGTGGCTTCGCCGATGACCCTTCGGAGATGGTGCTTCGTCGACTTGACGGCTGCCTCCCAAAGTCCGCCGAAGTGTGGTGCTGCGGGGGGATTAAATCTCCATCTCACGCCGTCGGAGGCTGCTGCGTGAGCCGTGCGATGGCCGTCGGAGGAAGAAACGCGGAACATTTCCCGCAGTTCTCGGTCCGCCCCGACGAAGTTCGTGCCGCAGTCGGAGAAAACTTCGTTGCAAAGGCCTCGCCGGGAGACGAAGCGACGGAATGTGGCCAGGAACGCCTCGGCTGTGTAATCGGTGACTGCCTCCAGGTGGACTGCCTTTGTGCTGAGGCAGACGAAGACCGAAATGAAGCCTTTGCTTGCCTTGTGGCCCTTTGCGTTCCTTGCTGGTCCGGATCAGTGTTCCGATTAGGGATTCCGTGCGCGCGCATATGCGGTTCTGCGCATGCGCGATTTTTGAAATTACATTGTACTTTCACGGTCGCGCAAGTGCAGAGCCGCACATGCGCGCACATGGAATCCCTAATCGGAACATTGGTCCGGATGAAGATTGGGCCGGCGTAATCGACGCCGGTGCGCAGGACCGGCGTGCGGGAGTTACTCGCTCTCGGGGAAGATTGCCCATTAGCGGTTGTGGTGCGACGGCTCTCCATCGCGTGCAGGCAACGCATCGGTGGATTGCCCGTTTAACGACGGCTCGACCACGTGGGATCCAGACGCGCTGGCGAAGCAACCCGAGAGTGAGCTGCACTCCTCCGTGCAGACTCCGTCGGTGACAGGAATCCACCAGGTGAGTCAGCTTGGATTCCGGCGGGATGATGATGAGGTGCCGCTTGTCGTGTGACAGGATGGCGTGTTTGAGTCGTCCCCCGACTCGCATCACACCGCTGTCATCGAGAAACGGACTTAACCTGGTGAGCGGACTTCGTGACGGCAAGCCACGTCCCTGGCTCAGTGCTGCGAGTTCGCTATGGAAGTGAAGTGCCTGTGTGGTGCGAATCCAACGTACGAGTGCGTCCTCGATCTCATGAGGCTCGAGCGGGAGCGCGGTGTGAATGGCGTCGCGTGTCTTCCGGATGCCTGGTCTCCGCTATCGAAGGCACCAAGCTGTTACCCTGAGGAGCCTCTGCAGCGAGATGAGAAGCGAAAGAGGAATCCAGGTTCGGTGACGTCTTTGATGGCGGCTGCGAGTGAGGAGGCGGCTCTCTGCTCTGGCAAGTCTGCGTCCGGCAGAACGCCGTCGTCGCTTGGCCACCTTGCCTTGTTCTCTCGGAGCCAGGATGGTCCGGTCCATAAAGGATGATCGACCAGGTCGCTTGGCAGGACTCCCCGAGAGGCGCAGTCGGCCGGATTGTCCTTGCCCGGCACATGTCGCTATCGAGCTTCGGGTAGTCGGATCTGGATTTGCGACACTCTGTTGGCCACGTAGGTCTTCCAGCGGGAGGCGTGGCCGTGGATCCAGTGCAGTGTAACCTTGGAGTCCGACCAGAGGAAAATCGGAGCTGAGGACAAACTTAGCAAAGTGCGTGTGTGAACGACAAGGTTCGTCAAGAGGGCAGCCGCGCAGAGCTCGAGTCGCGGTAAAGACACGGGCTTCACGGGGGCGACCTTGCCCTTGGCAGTCAGCAAGTGGAGTGTGGTGCAAAGCTGCCAGATCTCCGCCGCAAGCAACATGCAACACGGCGTGGAGGAGGTAATGAGGATGTGAGCGTAAGCGTATGTATGAGCTCGGCACTTCGGCTAGCTTCGGATAGTAGAAGAGGACAGAATACAGTCTTCTATCTCCTTCCTACCGAAAGACGGACAACACGCGACGCGTCACGCTTCTCGATATTTCGATATGCGCTCAATGTTCCTTTTACAGCATTTTTATTGTATAATGTGTTTAGAATATGTATCTGTATATATATATATATATATGAATACACATACATATTATAAACATATTATAAAGAATAATATTTAAATAATTATAATATATTTGTATAATATATATATATATATATATTTTTTTTTTTTTTTAAAAAGCTAATATATATAAATATATATATATATATATATATATATATATATATATATATATATGTCAATCGGCTATTTTGGCGACATCAAAAATTGTCATATATTATTGTATACATTAGAGTACATTTATCGTCTGATGTATACCTTACCGATATTTTCGAGATACGACTTGCTATTAAGTATGTATAAGGAATTATTTATAGATAGGCTATTTTGACAACACTACAATTATTTATAATGTACAAAATTATCTATGATGATTGTCCGATGTACATTGATTGTCTGACGTATACATTACAATATTTTTGAAATACGACATGTTATTAAATATATATAAGGAATTAATTATAGATAGACTACTTTGACAACAGTACATTCTTGACAAAAACAGTTACGTCACATCCTCGTCGAATCCACATATTTTACGTGGCTTACGTGGATGCAGATTTATCCACGAATTGTCTACGTGGATACAACTTTCTTTTTCCATTATTACATCGAGGTACTTTATTCTCGATCAATGTAGATTTCATGTGGATATTTCTATTGAAATTATGATTAATCATTCAACGACTCGGTAATATTGTAATGTTAAAAGATATTTTATTAAAATTTTTCAATTGTAATTTTGTATCTGAAATATTTCAGAAATATGCCTGCATCATATTTTTTATAATATTCATAATATTTATATTATAATATTATAATATTTATATTTTATATAATAATGTATTTGCAATATTTCTGAAATCTTTCAGAAAGAAAAAAGTTTGCTAAAAAAAAAATTATATCTGTATGTTTCTAAATATGTGATAGTACATATGTATATAGAATATGTTTCTTCGCTTTGCCGCTATGCGGCGCTGCATTAAATTAGCTAACTCGTATTCAATTTTTCGTCATAAAGTATATATAAAGAACTGATACTAACACGGTCCGAAGTTTATTTTTTCTTTTAAGGACCATCCACGATGGAAGTAATATTGGTGGAGTGGACGGTGGAGTAAGGCATAAGCGAATGGTTCTTTTTCATTTCGCATTACTCCTAGTCTTACGCCTTACTCCACCGTCCACTCCACCGATATTATTTTCATTGTAGACGGTCTTTTAGTCAGTTTAATTTAATAAACTGATTTAATTTAAAATAATTTGTTTAATAATCTGGATCGCTTGTTGGGATTCAGAATATGGAACAGATTATTTGAAATTAAACGGATAAATGGGAGATAGCCTATTTTTTGCGTATATTAAAAATAAAATGCAAATAAAAATAAAATTATTCTTATGGCCGAGTGTATTTATATACTTTTATTAATGTCCAAGATATTCACTTATCAAAAATGAAAAAAGTAATATGTCTTGAAAGTTCATGAAATTTTCACATAGATTTCTAGTACCGTTTTTGAGCGGATTATCCACTCGAATATGCCTTAAGTCTTCTTAAAATCTCATTGTAGGCGACGCATTAAAGCGTAAGACTTAAGAAATTGACCAATCACAGTCGAGTATTCTCTTAATACTCGACTGTGATTGGTCAATTTCTTAAATCTTACGCCTTAAGTCTCCTTAAGATCTCATTGTAGACGACGCATAAAGTAGAAATTGTGACCACTAGTGTGAGTTCTCATTGGTTTCTGCTTTCCTGCTTTCCATTTTTCTACCAAGATGTGAATGCGTCCGAAGGTTTTCTGTTTAACATTTATCTACTGCACATATGACATATATCCTAACCTCGCGTATTTTTATCTCATCTATTTTTTGTCATTAACATATTTGTAATATTAAGCTTATATTTGTTAGATTTCCAAATTTTTAGTTTTTATGAAGGACATTGACTCAGAATTCTTTCAGTGAAAATGCTTGAGTACTTTAACAATGTGGAGCAAATTCTTGGCTGTATGTAATAAGACATATTATGATCACAGAAGTGAGTATTTTTGTAATATTTTCATAATTTATAATAAGTACGCATACACAACATAAATTTAAAAAACTAATTAATTAAAACATTATTTTAATAAGTAATTTATTAATCATTCATTTTATTTACAGTAAGATTTTGACACAGTAATTAATGTATTTTTGTGTCTGCACAATTCATATCAATGCTAAGATAACTGTATAACTACATAATATTGTATGTTTTCTTAAAAATTGTGTTCTCTTACTTATTCAATCTAAAAAAGAAAAACTAAATTATGATAATGACAATTACATTAACGTATTGTCTTAATGTTCTGATGTCTGTTAATGATATATTCATTTTGTTTTTTGCAGGATACAGTATAGATGAATACTAATTTGTAAACCATCCGAAAGATCCATCTGAAAGCTTGTATGCAATGTCAAGAAGAAATCCATTATAAAACACGAGAATCTTTTAAGCGAGAGTTCAATATTACAGTCTCCGCTAATAGACTCTTGTGATCTGTAATGGAGTAATCAACGCTCCTTCATTAACTTGCAGTGATTGTGGAAGCAATAATCTTATATTATAGATGTGTTTAAATTGGGAATATTTATACTGCTATTTCGTTTTTTACATCAGGGAAAACAATACTTTAGGATGTCATATCTAAGTGCAGAATATTATATATATATATATATATATGTATTATATGTATGTATTATCTGTGCTGCTTGAGAAGAGAAATCTTATATTTTGTTCTTAATCGAAATATCAACTTGATAATTTCCTTGGACTGTATATATGAGAATACACTATTTTTGGTTGAAATAACTATGCATCAATATAAAAATTATATTTATATTAATTATATTTATGTAATTACACTTGACGACTTACATTTATACACTGTCTTACATAATGCATATATATACATATATTCAAATATAATGTTAGAACATATTTATAAATTTGTATTTGTACGTCGATGTTTTTTCTATGCTCTCATATAATGCATATACATATATTGAAATATGGTAAAAAAATAGGTATTTATATATTTGTATATCGGTGTTTTTCGTATGATAAATACTAAATTGTACTATATTCTTTCATACTCTTAAAATCTCACAACGCTCTGACATATGTGAAATTTTAAGTGTGAAAGAATACAGTATTATTTTTAATTATTCACAAACAGCATTTATCATACGAAAAACACCGATATACAAATATAAATATACCTATTATATATGTATATAAATATACATATATAAATATACCTATTTTTTTACCATATTTCAATATATGTATATGCATTATATGAGAGCATAGGAAAAACATCGACGTACAAATACAAATTTATAAATATGTTCTAACATTATATTAAATCGAAAGGAATTAGGCTCGTTATATATTCAATAACATGATAAGAAAACTAGCGTTTAAGAGCCACAGAGGATGGTAAATGCCTGAAAAATTCTTTTTAATTGTACGCGAAATTTTAAACGAAAAACACGGCATATGCATATATTTTACTTGGTGCATTTAACCAAGATATAGATTCTCATTTTTGAGAAATTCTATACAACCCTCTTTACCCCCCTGAAGAGACGTAGACGAGAAAAATATCGGGGCGAAGTCGTTGAATCGGGAATCGAACCCGAGTCTTTCGCTTGCCGGGCGACTGCTCTTACCACTGAGCTATTCAGCCCCACACCGATA